GGACTAGAACTCACCGTCTCCTGGTGATTGGTCCAAAGTCACCCAGCCGGCTTTCATGCCTAATGAAGAACTAGAATTCCCCGTCTCCTGGTGTCTAGCTGGATGCTTTCGCCACTAGACCAAACTAAACAGAAAATGCTAATTTTAAGAAACATTTTAAACTTATTTAGTAAATTGATACGCCAGCCACCTCACTGTCGAACGACTTTACAGGAAGGGGGAGACTTCGAGGCAGACCTTAACTCACTCCGCGATCTTTTGGCCGCCTCGACTCTACGCCCACCCACCCCCCATAATCCCCCCATAATATACCCACCACCGATGTTGGGGTTCAAATTTTTTTTTTAAACAACCGGTTTTGTGGGCGTGGCTTATTTGGTGGGTGTGGCTTGGTGATCCTGCGGGCATGGCTTTGGTGGTCACGTGATTGGGCGGGCGTGGGCTTGGTGGCCACGTGACTGGGTAGACGTGGCTTAGTCATGTGACCGAGTGGGTGTGGCCGACTTAATGTCACTCCCGTCACGGCCTGCCTCGCCTGGCCCCTCCCTTCCCCGCCATTCCTTGCGCCCGCCCCCAACCCCGCCTCAACTTTATCTACAGTTCTGTAAAAATGTTGCTCACCTTTTTCTGACTTTTATTATCTGCATACTATAGATGTACTTTCATGGACCACTGAGAGGAGGAAATGGCTCACAGGCTTTGCCCAAGAGTGCGATAGGCGACAGGCTTTTAAGGGGCTGCCAGAAAGAGGAAGGGGGGGTGGGGGTCAATGTATATTTTTTTTCCCCAAAGAAGGCAGAAGGCAAACGAGAAGCCATGGATGGAAACTGAACAAAGAGAGAAGCGACCTAAAACTAAGGAGGAACTTGCTGACAGTAAGGATAATTAACCAGTGAACCTGCTTGCGCCCAGAAGTTCTGGGTGCTCGATCAATCACTGGAAGTTTTTGAGAAAAGACGGGACAGGGTTCCCCCCACAAGGTCCCTTCTAAGTGTTATTCCGTTATCCCGACACTTTTCCCAGGACCTCCACTCAAGAGTTTGGCGTCCTCGGTTTTCCTGCCTGAGCAGGAGGTTGGACTAGAAGACCTCCAAAGTCCCTTTAAACACACATGTACTTAGGCTCTGGACTATAGACTGCATGTAAACCCTGAAGAATATGTGGTAGCCCTGGGCAAAAGGAAGGCAGTAGAATCACTCTAGGTGCAGGGACGGTGTAAAATATTAACACGTGATACATAATGGAACAATGAAAAATAACAGCACAGAGTTTTCTCTGTCTCTGTCTCTCTCTCTCCCTTCCTATTTCTTTTTCTTTCTTTCTCTTTCTTTGTCTCT